AGGAGCTTTATTGTAAATGCACTGGATCAAAAGGAAGCTGGATTGGCTTACGACACGCGGTAATTAGGCAGCGCAGAATTCACAAGTATTGCCGTGCGTTTAGGAAGGTTTGGTGGCACGCGCAGAGGTAAGCCTTCGTGTCGCGTCAGTCGTTCTGCCCACTCCCAACACTCGTAGGTCGGCAGACTCGGGCATTCGACTGGTGCGTGTAAGAGGGAAGGGATAGCAAGTGGCGAATCTATCCTCTCAGCATTTACTCACTAATAATAACTCTGGCGTGCTTGACGGCGACATGACGGAATTGGGAGGTTGCCAACTGGCGGAATAACTCGGTCATTTTCAGGGCCATGAATCAGGCTGCCGGTGATTCTTCTTAACATGGTCTTTACAGTACCTCTCATCAAGGTGAGATCTCAGCTACCCGGCAACCCCTTCGATAGAATTTTATACACATGGAACCGGGGGTGGGCTCCTGTATTGCACATGTAGGTGGTCTGAAAAGATTTGTCAGCCACTGTCCCATGTATGGCCGGCTTGACGCTGGCATGTCATCGGTGCAAGATATATGTTGCCGGGGAGAATGAGAGGGACACAGCGCAAACCTATATACCCTGTAAGCAAACTAACGCGCAAATTAGCACTATCGGGTACTTCTCGTATATCCTTGATAGACGCTTTGGTTGCAACATTCGAACTACCGGTTACGTTTGGAAATTACAATTCATCAGGAGTTAGTGGATGAACTTCGAGTAATGTCCTTAAGACGATACTTTTCGGGTTCTCACCGGAACTATATGTGGTCAAATAGTTGCAGTAATTTCGGAGTCGAATTGGTAAACTTCTGCTCTGAAGAAGTTACTACAAAGTCTTACACTACCTCTTTGCGAACTTAAAATTTTCAGTCTGATGATCATTGTACCTCTATAATACGTATAAGTAATGCAGTGAGATCCATTGATGAGCCGAAGTACTTACAATTACGACATTCAACAGCAGAAAAACGGTAACTGTGCGGCCGGAACTTTTATTCCCTAGTTTTGGAGCACTTTAAAGTAATTTTTTGCAATATATATCACTATAATAATACAAAAGAATAAATGCTGGTGCACGCGGCTATGGACCACCATACTACTGGGTACCTTGCGCTAGATGCCAGGGAGGTGGGATTACTGTTATGGTTGGGAGGACTAGGGCAATGAAGGTTAAAGCTAGGCTTAGGATGATTAGTATTGAAGTTGGGACACGGGAATGGGTGTTCCCTGCAGTCTAGCGCAGGGCCACTCTTAGCACGGAGAATTCCACTGTCCCGTGTCCAACCTACTGAGTAGTATATTCATGCAGCTATGCGCATCCACCTGTCCGAAGCGGAAACGGAGAAAGTGATGAAAGATGAAAGGTGCGCTCAAGGAGAAATAGTCCACAAAAGGCAGGTTTCGTACTTCTTCTCGAGCGCCTAACAGGGGATAGACGATGTGGGAAATACAGGCTTTATATAACCTCGCTAAATGACTTCCAAAATGCTCTTCTGGCTTACACTCTACTGATTCCTTTCAATTCCCGGATGGTAGCCGAGAGCTCCATAGGCCGCCGTGGGTTGACTTATTACTTTATCTACTAGGTTCCATAAATCCGCCTCAAAAGTGCTCACTATCTCAACTGAACTGATAAAAAACGGTCTTAGAAATGTTTGAAGTCCGTCGATCTTACTTTTGCTTGACCAACGGTTGGTACACAAAGCTCTTTGGGCAAAAAGGGTGGATTGATGAGAAGTCAACTGGCAGAACCTATCAGACGTCAGTCAAAAATACCTAATGATGAGAGGATCGTCAAAATAATGTTTTCTCAGATACGTGAAGCGCAGTAGTTGCTATTATCCTCGCGTCAATACACTGAAAAGGCAAAGCCCTTGGGCTCTCATTCCTGTGGAGAAGACAGAAAATGGGATGGGAACAGAGACAAACAAAGACTGCGACACCTACCTGACCAAGTGTGGCAGGGCAGAGACGGGCTGACAGACATTTGTACAGCTCCGCCTTGACTCCACGATCGAAGTTAACGAGTTCACAGTAACCGCCACGGAAGCCGCATCTACAGGAAAACGCATGTCGTGTCATTAAAAAAGGAAGTTTAAATGACTGTATCTTTAGTTTTACTCTTCCTTGAGACAGATGGGTGTACAATTTCACAATAATATTCCTTTTCTCGGGAAGACTGGAGGCGAGGTAGGGTCAAGTGGCTGGTACGATGTGAGCCTGTGTCTAGACGTGGCAAAATAAGGCCTGGACGCCCGGGCCTCTGAGAGTAATTCCGTAAACGGACACCAACAGTCGTTACGCTCACGACGCCAGATGGTGCAGCCGAAT